ACATAAAAGTTAAGGTTGTTTTGCTCTCCTGAACAAACTCTTTTACCTCCATCTCATGATTCAAAATTGGCAGGAGAGCATCAGAGGAGCCTGATAGGGTTCATGTGAGCAGGGCAGGCAGGAGTACACGAGAGGGAGAAAATATCCCCAACCCCTTTGCTGTTTATAGTTGTTTCCTTGCTCCCAGTGCCCGAGTTCCCTGCTGGGATTGATGGATTCTCCTTAGGTCAGTGGCACACACAGTTTGGTCCAGCCAGCAGAACTGCTGCTGAGCAGGAGGAACGAGGAATTCAGGTTCTCTTTAGGGAATGTACTCTGCTACTTTACACTGACAGGGCAGGGTTAGGCTGGATTTTAGGAAGAAATTCTTTACTCAGAAGGTGGTGAGGCCCTGGCACAGGGTGCCCAGAGAAGCTGTGCCTACCCCTGGATCCCTGGAAGTGCCCAAGGCCAGGCTGGACGGGGCTTGGAGCAACCTGGGATGGTGGAAGGTGTCCCTGCCCATGGCAGGGGGTGGGACTGGATGATTTTTAAGGTCCCTTCTAACCCAAACTTTTCTGTGATTCTGTGATTCTGTATGGGGGATGTTCTTTAAATAGCACAAGGAAGGGAATGGACATAAATAAGGCACAAAGGGAAAGATGAAACAACTCTTGTGGTGGTTGGGAATGGGAAAAAAGTGCATTTTTCTGTATCTGCCTCTTGTGAACATGTGTGGTTGCCCTCCTCTGGCTGGAAGTAGAACAGCCTCCCAAGACCGGAGACTTTTTTGGGGGCAGGATTGTTGTGTTTCTCAGAGTGCCTTTGAAAAAGAGTCAGGATCATTTTGGATGCTGGGAATTAATCAGTGCAAGGTCTCACCCTTCATCTACAAAGCCACCCTGGGCAAGGGGTGACTTCTGAGCTGCTGAGTTGTGCAGAGCCAAGGGATGCACCAAAGCAAGAACGTGTCACTAAGCATGGACAAACTCTGCAGGGGTGGGTGCAGGGCTCGGAGGGGCTGCAGGACACAGTTTGCTGCAAGATGTGGCTCTGAGGAATCTGTCACCCAGGCCTGGTGACCCCACAGCTGTGAGTTTGTGGGCCACAAGTTGGGCAACTCCCTGGGGGCTCCCCTGGCAGGGGAAACCCTCCTGGAGCAGTTCTGAGTCAGGAACGAGAGACACATTGGACTTTTTCGGTCTTCAGCTTCTGTTTATTGTTATCTTATCAAAACTTCAGCACACTGCACCAGACTCTGTGTGCAGGAAAACAGCACAAAAGTAACAACCTCATGCTGCAAGGTCTTTTCAAGTCTAATCAAAAACTAAACCTTACCAATTAACAAGTGACACCTAAATAATATTCCTTTCTAACTCAATAACTGACCCCTAAAGACATGCAATGCAGATTTTTCTACCCAGTTACAAGATACCACCTAAACCCAAGAAGAAAGAGGAAGAAGAAGAGAGAAGAAAGGAATTTGAGACAACACCCTATATCCTTCATCTTGAACCCATCTATAACACACTAAAAATCCTAAAACCTAAATTTCTCACCCATGTGACGTACTACACTACTATCTACAATCTCTACAATCTACTTCACACTTTTGTGGTGTCTGGTTTACCTTGAGGCTTTGGAAGTTTTCTCCATGAGTGAGGGGCAAAGTCAGTGTTTTCCTGGGAGTCAGAGCACCCAGGGCAGACAGGGGGATGTTCCCCTTGCCCCGGGTCCCCACCACAGCCCTGTCACACCTCAGAGCAGGAGCTGACCCCTGCCTGCTGCTCTGCTCAGCTGGAGCTGAGAATTATGTGACAGATTTAATTAGCAAATCATTTGCTGACCTTCAGTTTTATAAAAATAGTCTGAAAGTGAGTTTATCAGCAGTTAGCTGCTCCAGCAGAGGAGCAGAGGCTTAGAGGATTTAAGGGAGCTGCATCCAGCACTGGTGATTTCCACTCGAGTGTGCTGGACCGTGTCCTTGAATGCTGCTGATACTAAGCCAGGTAATCCTGGTCAGCAAAAAAACTGACTTGTGCTTTGGGATTTTTTTTTTTTCCATCTGGATCAGGACCAGCAAAGCCAGGGAGATTGCTGTGTGCCTTGCAAGAGTGTCTTAAAGGTGAAACCTTTGCTCTGCGTTTGGAGCCGTTTCAAAATGTGAATCCTAGGAACTATAGATTTTTGTCTTCTATGGATTTTGGCAACACAGTTGTCGGAGCAGCTGAAAGGGAAATGAACCTGAGAGGAGCTTTTGACTTTGGTGAAACTCAATAGTTGCTTTCCAGTAACAGGGAAGTGTTAAAAAAAATAAAGCCACAACTGGTGACATCTGCAATTCAGGCAGCATCTAATCCATGCTTTTTTTCTCCCACTAGAGCAGCCAGACAGGATCCAGGGTGGGATGTGCACACCTTGTGTATCTCCCTGCATTCAGGATCCATGGAAGGATTTGGGGAAATGATTGTGTAGTGGTTGAGCAAAGAGCTGGTCCTTAAAAGGCTGTCCCTTAAATGTCTTTTAATGCCAGCCCAACCCATTTAATCTCACAGTGTTGCTCTCATGAATGTTTTACCACCTCCTACAAGTATTAAGTCCTACAATGCCGCTAAAACATGTCGAATTTTAGTGTGAAAGTGCCTTAACTGAAGAGATGTATTCCTGTGTCCAGAGGTAAATGTTGGAGAGAGGGAAGCACGGTGTGCTGGGAGGCTCCTCGCTGCCACCAGCTCATAAACCAAGAGTTAATTTTATTATCCATTACAGCTTTATCTTGTTCAGACATCTTCAGGAAAGACTCCCACCTTCTCTCTGGCATTTCTGTGAATTGTAGAATGAACCAATTTGGAAGGGCTCTTTGGAAGTCTCTAATCCTGTTTATGGCAAAGGTAGATGAGATTGCTGGAGGCTTTGTCCAGTTGAGGTTTGACTGTGCTGGGCTGGAGGCTCCAGCAGCTCCCCAGGCTCCTGTCCCAGTCATTGGTTTTCCTACTGAATATCCACCCAGGAGGCTGTGTCAGAAACCTTGCTGCTCTCAAGGTGATCAACATCTGCCAGGGGTGGTTTCAGAAGACAAATCAACGAGGTTCAGCTTGCCCACAGCACATCTTCTTACCCTTCGTGGCCATGGGAATGGATTCCAGGAGGATTTGCTCCATCCATCCCTGCCCACAGACTTCAGCTGGCAGAAGGTGTTGCTGTCCTCTTTATTCCAGGTACAAACCCTCTGCAGGGTGAGTTTGTGCTGTCAGAATTAATACTCAGAAGGTGAGTGCAGGTAACCTTGGCGTCCTCTTGACTTGGCTGCTCACGAGCTTTCATTGCCTTCTCTAGCAAAGCCTTCACAATTGCTTAGAGACACTTAAAAGTTGCTAATGTTTAAATAAAGGGATTAATTTCAGGCCTCCTGCTGCTAAACCTGTACGTTGGAATTTTGAGAAAGTGCCTTTTCCCCCGTGAGGTGCGAACGGGCTCGGCTCCCTTTGATCAGCTAAATGGACTGGAACTCGTGGTGAGGAGCCACTGAACTCCTCAGCATCCATCTGACTTGCCAGGCAATGGAAACCATTAAAATGGCTCCATGAGGAGTAAATACTCAGGGATCTTAGGGCATGGATATTCACAGGTGCCTCAGGAACGCCTGCCCTTTAAACCTGCCCCTGCTGTTGATTTTATTGATGATTCAATTGGCATTTTAACATTTCCTTGCCTTCGTTTCCCCACCTGTAAATGACTTGTGCCTTCCCTTTGGCTTATTGAGCTTGGCTGACACATACAAAAATTGTCAAGGTAGGGGTGCCAAGATCACACAAACTATTTTATTTTTAGTGTCTTTTGAAACCTTGGACTTTTTGTTCTCCCTTTTATCTGTCTCTTTCTTTTTAATCACACCAAATGGAAATAAATTCAATCACAGCTGGTGCTGGAGAAGAATCATTAAACCCATCCAGCTGGCTGTCTCGGGGCCAGAGCGGGATTGTTCCCTACGCTGCATTTCCAAAGTATTTTATCTCCTTTAGCCCTGTGGTTGTGGAGTGATGAGCTCCTTTCACTTCTGCCGGCTCCCGTCATCGATCCGAACGGGAAGGGCTATTTTTAGGTGGCTGTAAGTAAATGGACATCAGGCACCACGGAAAGGGGACTGGGTTATTTTTGGAAACCCATCAGCGGCCGTTCTGGCAGGTCCTGCTGCAGGATTTGTCTCCAGCTGGGCTGTCTCAGGTTGTGGTATCAGTTCCCAAGGTTGTGAGCCCGGTTTCTTGGATGTGATCTGCACTCCGAATGTGGAATTAGCAGCTGCTGGAGATGGTGTTGATGGCATCAGTTTCTGGGATTTAATTCCCACTAGGCCAGGTTGGATGGGGCCCTGAGCAACCTGATCTGGGAGGAGACGAGCCTTAAGGTTTTTTCCAGCCCAGACCAGTCTGGGTTCTGGGATTGTCAACCAGCCTGGATGGGAGGGATGCAGGGGGTGGTTGGGCTGGAGATTTTGGGGCAGAAGATGAGGTTGGCTTAGGGGCAATGTGGGAAATGCACCTGGAGTGGGGCCAAACCATGGAGATGATCTCACAGTCAGATGAATGTGCAGGCTTGGCATCTGCTGGTGGCCACACGGCAGGTTTTTGGGTGCTGTTGGGAATTTGGGATTGTTCTGCTTCAGTGGATTGCAGAAGGTTTTGTTTAGTCCTTTTCATGAAGAATTCTGTCATGTTTGGGACATGGTTTAGGTAGGCTTGGCAGCAGTGGATTGTGAGTTGGACTCAGTGGTCTCAGAGGGCTTTTCCAACCTTGGTGATTCTGTGATTCTGTGATTCCATCAGCATTTTGGGACAGCTGTGCCACAGTTTATGTGTGCAGCTGATGCTGCTTGGAGCCACTGGGCTCTCCAGTGACTTGTCTGTGAATGTGCCAGTTGGAATCTGGGGGCAACGAACAAATCGACGGAAAGCCCGAGCAGAAAACCTCCTGGGGGGGATTCAGCTGCACATTATCTTCCCTCTCTGCCTCAGCAAAGACCCAAATCTAATTTCAAAGGTCAGAACATGCTCTCACCTGGGTGTTCCCAGCCTTTTATAGAGTGGTTGAAGGCCATTTCCTAAAATTAGCTGCTGCAGGGGAAAGCTGAGACTGGCTCCATATCAGAGCCTTTCCAAAGCTCTGGATGATCATTGACTTGATTACTCCTATTGAAGCTCATGGGAAAAAGGTAGAAAATGGAAGAAAACCAGAACCTGATGCTGCTTCTTAACAAATCATGTGGGTTTTGGGACAGAATTCATCTTCTTGGTTGTTTTTGGAGGTGTTTTTTTTGTTTTCCTGAAGCTTTTTCAGGCAGGCCAGTGGTCCTGCCTTTAGAATCAGACTTATTTTTGTTTTCCTCAAACTTCCTGGTGATCCAAACATGCTGGGGAGCTCTGGGAAGGGGAACATGTGACTCTGAAGGAGGCTGAAATGGTAAAACACAGTCAGATCTGCTAAGCAACAGCATTGACACGTTTAAATAAATCTGCTGTTGACTAATATAGAGTGACATATTGAGAGCAATTAAAAAAAAAAAAAAAGGGAAACTAGGCACAAATTTGGGAAATGAGTGGAATGGGAACAGAACAAAGATGTTAGAGAGGACGCTGGATAAAAGAGAGGGAGGGCTGCTCCACAAAAGGAGTGTTCTGGAGAACCAGGGTGTCCATCAGGAAGGGGGAGACAATAGCAGAAGTGCAGATTTGTGCTGGAATTATCCCTTGGCAGTAGGATCCTTGTATTTCTGCTTCCCTGCCAACTCTGCTGGCTGCCAGGATTAAAAAGATTTGTACTGCCTGGTGCAGAGAGGAGCATGTGATGGGATGTCAGGCAGCTTGGAGGAGGTAAGGTGGCACTTCTTGTTCCCATGCTGGCTTTGGGACTGTTGTTCCTTTGGATCTGCTGTGGTTTGGGTGTGAGTCCTGTCATTCCCATCCCTCTGGATGTGTGTAAATGCTGGAAAAGGGAGCAGGGACTGAACTAGGAGGGGTTGGGTTTGAAGCTGGCGAAAGGAAATCCCTTAAAATCACAGAATGGTGTGGATGGGAGGGAACCTTAAAGCTCATCCCATTCCACCCCTCTGCCACGGGCAGGGACACTTCCCACTGTCCCACGCTGCTCCAAACCCATCCAGCCTGGCCTTGGACACTTCCAGGGATCCAGGGGCAGCCACAGCTTCTCTGGGCAACTTGCAGAGCTCATCTGTGGAAGCTGCTGCTGCAGGAAGCTGTGAAACTGAGTGCTTGGTGTGTTTTTATCAGTTAAGACTTTCTATTACTGAGAATGTCTATGATTGATTGCTTAAAAAAAAAAAAAAAGGTATTTTGGTGGACAGCTGTTGGTTCTTCAAAGGCTCCTACAACTCCTATTTGTTAATGGTTCAGGGGAAATTATCCTGAATAAACTTCCATGACTATGATTTATGGTTATTTTACACCAAAGCAGCTGGAAATGAGGAGTGAGGGGCTGAAGTGAACGGATCATTGGCTTGATCTAACACAGCCATCCTCGTGCTTCCTTAATATTTTAATTTTTTTTTGGATTCTCTGCAGAGTCCAAATTGAGTTGTGAATTTTGTGGAGCTGTGTTGGCCAGCAGCTTTCCCAGCCTCTGGGAATGGCTCCCCTTTATCCTGGCTGGCCATCAGGTGTTTAATGTGGCCACCAGCAGCCTTTGTGCAGTGGGTGGCAATAGGAAACTCACACGCTGTCCAGCCTGGGATGGTGTCAGGCTGAAAAACAGAGAGCTCTGCTGTCCCTCAGGGATATTTTGTACAATCAGACCAATTCGTGGCTCCAGCCAGTGAGATGGCACAGCTTGAGATGCTGGGGCTGCTCTTGTGTCCAAAATAACTGCTGGGAAAGGCCAGAAGAGGCGTTTGTGGATTGCTCAGCCATCAGCACCTCTCACCATCTATTTTCCAAAGGGTCCCTGAAGTGAGCTGGAACCAGTTCTGTGAGTTGGAACCTGATCTTTGGGATGATGGCTGGGAGACAGCAGCTTGTGTTGGAAGTGGTTCCTTCATCTGTGGCTCATTTTTTGAGCTGCTCAGAGGACATTTGGCCCCTCTTCCCTCCAAAAATAGCTGCAGGGTGTTGGAGATTCCTGCCTGGAGGATTTGGGAGCCAGAGGAGCTCCAGCCTTCCCAAACATGCCCTCTCTGCTGGCATTTGGGTTCTCTCCACCCTGTGCTGAGGGTTTTTTGGGTGCTCTCTGGAGCACAATATCCATGGTTCCTCTGGGAATTTCCCCTCCTGGACATGGAATCGCTTTTGTGATGTGAACTATTCAAATCCCTAGGAACAAACTCTGTCCTGAAAATCCTGCTGCCAGCCCAGGGGAGCTGTTAAACCATTAACTCTGCAAAAACTTGGCTGCTTTGAGGTGCTCAGTGGCACCTCAAAGCCACCAGGTATTAATTGGCTTTCATGTTTGATACCAGGTAATAAAAAATTTCCTTAAAAAGACTCATTGCTTAGCATTAGGTGCTTTTAATATTGTCAGAGGTTTCTAATAAAACAGGGATTTGGCATCTGCTCTTACCCGTTAATTCTCCAAAAAACTGTTGAATCCATCAGCTGTTTGTACTCAGGTTTGAGGAACGAAGCTCACCAAAGCAGTGACTGTATAAATGCTCTGGAAATAGGGAACTGAGACTCTTTATGGGGTACTGGAGACCCCCATGGAAAACTGAAGGCAGCAAACAGAGAGAATTCAGCTTCATTTGTGCTGCTGTTCCCAGGACTCACAGGGGCACGTTGTCAGCACAGATATTTTTCTCCAAATGCCGTGCTGAGCATTGCAGGGCCATTACAAGCACTTGACTAAATAATCATTCCATCTTTTTCTCCAGCTAAGAGGACACCATTAAGTTTGGGAGAGCAGCTGGGAAGTGCATTTGGACCAGGCTTTAAGCCTGACAAGTTTTGGGTTTCAAAGGCACTTTAAAAGTGCTCCCCCAGCTCGCACAAGGAGCCATGCTTTGGTGTTTTTTAGCGTGGGAGCTAAAAAATCTATCAGTGAGTTTCAATTTACTCAGGATAAATCCTTCCCTGAGGATTGCTCTTGTTCTCTGGAATTACAGGGTTTGGCATGATAACGTTTTCCTCCTTAATTTGTCCCTTTTGCACTTCCTTGGTGCCAGCAGGGAAAGCAGCAGCAAAATTCCAGCAGGAGAAAGCTCCAGGATTATTTTGGACCAGGAGATGTGTGGAGGGTGCAGAAGGAGCAGTGAGGCAGCAGAGCTGTGAGAGAGGGAGGACAGGAGAGACCCAGGTGGGTGGAAAGTGGGATTTGGACAGCAGGGAAAAGCTGGTGAGAGAGGGGGGCAAAGAAAAGGATCTCAGCAGCTGCATTTTGTGCGGCCACTCCTGTATCCTGCAGCTGTTCATTAGAAATTCTGTTTATGCCACAGGGAGTTTTGGAGTCTCTGAAGCTGACACAGTTTTAATAGACAAAGACATTTTGAGTGCAGCACATCTGCTCTGGGATGCTAAGGAAGAGGCTCCATGCAGTAGGGCCATTGGTTGAAGCATTTCATCATGCTTTTTTTTTTTTTTTTTTTAATTTTTTATTTCAAGACCTCTCTTTTATCCTAAAAAGTAATTTTTGAGGTCAAAAGAAGTGCTGTGTTTGCTCATTAAGTTTGCAGCCCTTAAAGTGAAAGTCCTGTTGTATTCTTCCTAATATCCCTGAGTTCCCAGCCCTGGGAGCAGGCAGAATCACCTCTTACTTGGAAGGGTCCTAAACCTCCTACTTGGAAGGATCCTAAACCTCCTACTTGGAATGATCCTAAACCTCCTACTTGGAAGGATCCTAAACCTCCTACTTGGAAGGATCCTAAACCTCCTACTTGGAAGGATCCTAAACCTCCTACTTGGAAGGGTCCTAAACCTCCTACTTGGAAGGGTCCTAAACCTCTTACTTGGAAGGATCCTAAACCTCCTACTTGGAAGGATCCTAAACCTTCTACTTGGAAGGGTCCTAAACCTCTTACTTGGAAGGATCCTAAACCTCCTACTTGGAAGGATCCTAAACCTCTTACTTGGAAGGGTCCTAAACCTCTTACTTGGAAGGATCCTAAACCTCCTACTTGGAAGGATCCTAAACCTCCTACTTGGAAGGATCCTAAACCTCCTACTTGAAAGGGTCCTAAAGCATTTCCCAGAAGTGGCATCACAGAGGTGTGAAGCACAAGCACAGGCCTGGAGCAGGAGGGTGCTGCTCCAGAACAGAAACCTCCTTTGGTTGATGCTGAATTATTTAATATTTGGTGAGCAGCTCTTAAATTGATCAATCTCCTTCTCGGCAGGCTCCATCTAACCCTCAGCTTAACTTTTATAACCCGTGGCTTTCCAAAACCCATCTCATCTCGCTGGGTGATTGAATCCACCTTGTGCAGCTGGAAAGTTAATTCCTTCCTCCAGCTCTGGTCAGGTTCCTTGGATCCCTCCTTGCCTGACCTCTCTCTTTGCCTTCCAATAAACACAACAGTGTCACTTTGCCCTTCCTAACTGCTGTTATTGCTGCATCTGCCCCGCAGCATCTTCGGGGTATTTTCTGCCTTCCCATCCTGGTAGGAGCAGTCTCTGTGCTGGATGCTGAGTGGGGTTTGGCTTCTCCCCTCTGCCTTTTGTGTCGGGCTTCTCCAGCCAGGAACAGCTTGAGAAGAGCTTTTTATTTTTGGTTGTGTGCCGGAGACCACCCTAGGTCAGGGGTGGTGGAAAAACTTCTCCTCCAACCCGTGCTTCCAAAGAAAGGCTCAGAAGTTTTCTGTTGTGTGGTCTCGAGGTAATTTATTGCAAGTTATCTAAAAGATTTTCTCCTTGAGCTGCTCAATTTGCTCACAGCTCAGGCAGAGGCACACACACACCCTGACATCCTCTCTGACTCCCGACTGCTGCTTCTCTCCCCCACCCAGGGCTGCTGCTGTCTTTTATATGTACATTACGTGTTACATGGTTACAGTTTTCCCCAATGCCTATTACCTATATTAAATGGTGCTTTTTTATCTTGTATATGGTACATTACGTGTTACATGTTTACAGTTTTTCCCCAATGCCTATTACCTATATTAAATGGTGCTTTTTTATCTTTTATATGGTACATTACATGTTACATGTTTACAGTTTTTCCACAATACCTACTACCTATATTAAATGGTGCTTTTCTACTCTAAACCAATCTGTGAGTGCCAACATCACCAAGAACATGGAGGTGAGGAAGAAGAAAGAGGGAGGACAGGACAGGCCCAAATCCCTCCATCTTAAACTTCTGACTCCCATGTACAAGACCTAAACCCACCCTGAACAGCACTCAAAAATTCTTCCCTCTATTTTGTGACTACTTCTACTCTAATATCTAAACTTTTGTGACTTCTTGTTCTTCCTGCAAGGTTGGTAAATCGTTCCATGGTTCAAACCCAAAATCACAGCTGTTTCCAGCTGCTGCCAGGGTCTCAAATGCTTCTGAGCTGGGCCTGGAACATCCAAAAATGTCTGAGGGACGTTTTGAGTTCTGACAGTTGTGTTTCTTTCTGATCTCCTGGAAGGGAAGCACGGGGCACCAGTGCACAGTGTGTGTGGAATGATCCGTGATCCAGCATCCCAAATCCAAGCGGCGGCGGCGCTTTGTAGGAATTTAATTCCCATGGATTGTGCTGCTGCTTATCTCCTGCCATCCTCTCTGCTGCTGGTTAATGACTTTGTGAGGCACACACAAACCTCACGTGCTGTGTTCTGTCTTCTCGGGGTGTTCTGAAGTCTTTGGCCGCGTCTGCAAGTCCCGTGGAGTGGAGTGTCCTGCAGGGACCTTGGTTAGGATTTATAGAGTCCCAGGATGGTTC